GATAAGTTTAACCAAAAACAAAGGGACAAATGACAACAAAATGCTTGAACGAGCTTAGTTAGAATAAAAGCATAATAATTTTACTGCCTTGGACAAAAATATGACCAGCTAGCTGTGGAATGGAAGGAAACTAAATTATGATAAAGTGACGAAGATACCTCAACAGCATCAGACACTGTTGTAGCCATGTCATATGATATTTCTTCAAAAGTTTCATCGAGAAAGAAGACTATGGTTGTGAGCTTTCTACCAGTCAAAAGGGCTTCAATTTCTTCACGTCCAGGTGTGGTATGCCTAGGACCAGCCTTGATAGAGCGTTTTAATGCCTTTAAAGTATTTACGGCAAGAACCTGAGCCTCCGGTTCAATTGTTGCATCGTGTGCCACATTATGAATATACTCGGATAGATAGCCACCAATATCTTTGCTAGGAGGCATTGAGGACGCACATAAGTACATCAATTCCCAAGCTTTGATCAAGTATTGCCTGACATTATTATGCCAAAAGTAACGAAGATGGTAAGAAGTCATATGCACATAAGTAGTTGGGAGGGGGGAAACAAACAAGACTAAACAAACCTGTCAGGATTATGTCTAGTCTGCTTGGAGATTTGGGCAAAGAGTTCGTCCCTGAGTTCAACACGCTTCAAAGTCTTCTTGAAGAGCTTTCCAACAAGCTCAATGCGTTCATCTAAACTGGGTGGCGTTGAACGATCAGAAGAATCAACGCCCATATACTTCAAGATGAGATGAAACAATTTGGTAGCACGGCTGACGAGATCGCTGTTTATCTTGAGGAGGGATGTGGGGATGGGATCCTGAACATTGATGTTAAGAAGTAAGAACACACACAAAGTCAATGGAATGGATTGGATAGTTACTGGAAAAGAAAGAAAGGTACAAGGAGGAGCTGAACAACAATAAAGACCTTCTGAAAGCAAAGCATATCCTCGAAAGTGAAGCGCTCGCGGACGTTAGAGCCCGATGACTTTTTGGAATAGAAGAAGCCACGCTTCCCAGCAGACTGGATTTGCTTCTGCATAAGCCGCAGAAAAGCTTCAACCTGGAAGCGATCGATGAGGGGAATGGCTGCAGCAAGGTCTGCAGGAATCGACAAGGCAACTTGAGGAGCTGGAGAGCTATACATACGACAATGTTTGAAAATTCACAATTCAGTAGTGACTTGCGG